CTTTGGCTTGACCGACTTCAAAATCCAGAACATCGTTGGCTCATGCGACATCAAGTTCCCCATTCGCTTGGAGGGGCTCGCTTTTTCTCATGGTCATTATTCAAGTGTATGGTTAAGTGGTCTGGTCACAGGCATACTATACTTGCTTTGAAATTTTTGGACTTTTTAAATTATTTTCATAACTTATCCCTTAGTATGAACCAGAACTGTTTCCCGGTCTTATCTACCGAATGGTCAAGCCAAAGATTGTGCTTCTTATATTTGTCTCTGGAAAAATAGTGCTTACCGGTGCAAAGCTGCGTGAGGAAATCTATCAAGCTTTTGAGAACATTTATCCTGTCTTGACAGAGTTCCGAAAACCATAGTTCAATACACTGTTAAATCCACGGGTTTGTGCACTGTTAGATCCACGGGTTTGTGCACTGTTAGATCCATTGTAAAATTTTGTGTTTTTTGACGAAGCAGCTTGACGGTACCCTTAAACTACAGGTAGCACAATGGGAAGGGGAGTGTTTATTTCTAAAACTCTCGAGTTAATTTACCTGTTAAAGAGATCTGGTCTTCCGAAATAAATGTCATGCCGTCGACGTAAAAAGAGAGCTTTTGACCAATTTCAAGCTGTTTTGGCCTGAAAATCTTTTTTTCGGCCTCCAAAATGTGGTCTTCAGTCATGTTGCCCATCTCACCGTCGATACATTCATCGTTGACGTTCAGTCGAATCCATTTTTTGCTGAAAATCTCGTAGAAATAAGCTGATCGTAAAGACGACGCGGGTATTGAGGCATTGAGTGTGCCGAGCATAATCAGACCAACATGATCGCCAGAAATTTTGTTTATCTCTCCACAGGTCAATTGGTTAGGGGTGGATATCCTCCAAAGAGTCAAATCTGCCATCACGGAAAGATGGAAGTATGGGTTATCATATTTAATGACCGCACATGGGTCAAGAACAGAGATCTTGTTTATTGCAACAGGAATACCTTGTAGCTCAGCATTATATTTTAATAAGAGTTGATGGATATACTGCAAAACTCCCACTTGCAATCTAGACGAGAAGATTGGAGGGAGGTGCAGCCGAATAGGAACCCTAACCTCAACAAAATCCAGCATTGGAAAAAAAAAAGGAAAATTAAATTTTATTGCTGCTTGGCGTGCTTCGCAGCCCATCAAGCCGACGCTGCTTTCATGTACGCAATGATGTCTTCCCGCTCCTTTGGCTTTTTCAGCCCAGCAAATGCCATTTTGGTGCCCGGAATGTACTTTTTTGGATCTTCAAGGTAGTCAAAGAGCGTTTTTTCATCCCAAACGACACCCTTCTCCTTGTTTGCAGTGGTGTACGAGTATCCCTCAACAGCCCCGCTTTTTCTTCCAAAAAGACCAAATAAATTGGGACCAAGCTTATTTGAGCCGCCCTTTTCGATGGTATGACATTGGCCGCAACGGGTCTTAAATAACTTGGCACCCCGCGCAAGTGTTGCTTCGTCCACAGACATTGTAATCCGGAAATAATTGCATCCTATTTTAATTGTGTTTTAATTTGCCCTTTTTGTAATTTAAAATTTAGCGGATCCATTTACAAGCAGGCAAGCAAGTTATGTTTAAAATTGCATCAAAATGATGCACGCAACCCCACACCACACCATTTGACCTGTTGAATTTGGGTGTCAATGCCGCTCAACAGCGTACCGGTGACCATTAAAATTAAAATCCCCAAATGATTTTTTTATGGTGTCCTATTCTGATTTTGACTCCGATAATGACGGCGAGTTCTATTCAGACGAGGACCTGCCAATAATCTCATCGAAGACCAATAAATTGATAAATCCAAATGCAATGGCACGCCTAGGCAAAGCTTCTGACTCTAGAACCGATGCGCCGCCAGTAAAATCTAGCAGTACATCCGACCATCTTTCTTACAAGAAATCCGATTTTCATAATCAATCTTCCTCTATACAAACTAGCATGCCTAAATACATCGAATCAGAAAATATGAAGAAACCCATGGCCAATCTGAAAAGCTTAGCCGCTGACCCCGCTATGGCAAGCTTAAACGTCGAGCATGCATCTGCAAATAAAAGGGAGGCCCATCCGGTAGAAGAAGCCATCTCTATCATCAAAAATGGAAGCATGCCTGTAAAAGAAAAAGAGGGTTCTTTAGTAAGTGGTGGGCAATTTCACATTATGAATCAGGCAGGATCTAATTGCGATCATATCCCCGTTATTGAAAAGATTGAGAGAGCCGGCATACCGTTGAACAAAGAAATACCCAATGTGGTCACAGAAGGTGTACTCGCTTATGATGAGATAAGAAAAATTATTCAAAATATAAGAACCGTTCCATTTCCAAAGCCCAGCTCAGGATGTGAGCGGCAAGCTTTGGGGTTCTTGTGTAAGCTGATTGAAACATTTCAAGGCGCATTGGCCATAAGATATTCTGAAATCCCAACAACATTTGCTCAAATTCACAATGAACCGATGAACTTTAAAAAATATATCCACGGGATGAGATCGCTAATGACATCCGGGAAAGACACGAGATCTTCTTTAAAAGAGCGTTGGGAAAAATTACCTTCAAAATTCAAAGATTTTCTCAACTTACTTCCATGGTTTTGTTTGTATATTTCTCCGTATGATAAAAATGCCGTTTGGGTGTTGAGAACCAAGGATCCTGCAGTCAAGAACTGGGCCTTAAAGCAATCAACCATTTCCCCGTTTATTTCTGCCTTTGCACCAAGGGAAGCAAGAATTCCCTTTGGAAGATTAGTTGAGCTGCATTCCCACTTATTTTGTGTTTGGAATAATGGCAGAGCGGAAGGATTTTCGCAGTCGCTTCTCAGAAAAGAAATTGGGAGCAGCTGGAGATTTTCTGGATCGAACGCGCCTATCACTTTTAAATATTCCGAAGTATCCGTGGAAGCAAAAAATATACCAAATAGGGAAGATGGAGCAAAAGATTTCGTGCCGGAAGACCTTCTCATTACAATACCACCGCTTCGTGCACTAAATAGGATCGGACCATGTGAATGCTCCATTTGCAACGAAAGGATTTCGCTTGACTATTCGAAGAAACGTATATCTGATGATGGAGACGAGAACATCCCATCAAAAAGACAATCCTTGCCAACGGAACAAATTGAAGAGTCTTTGATATTTGAGAGATGTACATTCAATCCAATGGCGCAAGTGGAGTTATCAAATGTTATTTTTGGAGCCAAAAATGTTGGATGCTGGTCTTTTTCATCAAACCTTTATTCGCTGACTTGCGAGCGGCTTCAACTATGCAAAGGAACAGATTATTTTCGCCTGAAAGCAATGAACTCCTGATTTTTGGATTCGCGTCCAAGAGTCCGATTTTTCTCTTTCAAAGACCGGCTGGTCTTTAATCGGCTCTTCAAAACAGCCGGACACAATAATGTAAACAATATCCGCCAAAATGGAGGTACGCTCTTGGTATTATTTGGTATTTAAATCTTTTACAACCATCCGGTACTGGAAACCCGAATTTATATTCGGAACGAAGATTAAGATTCTGTTAGCACAGCAAAGAGAGTTGAAGCGGATATTTTAAAATGGTTTCCGAAAATCAGCCATCTGACCATTATCGAATAAAGATACATCCAGATTCTAATATAATCGGAAAAGAAAAAATGCCATGAAAATTCAAAATACACGTGCAAAAACTCTAGGCAGCGAAATGGGGCACTGTAAAAAAGGAAGGGGTGGCATTTTTGAATAACGAACCTCATTTATTCTTTGGCCGAAATTTCAGCCTTATAAAGCTTGCAAAATTTCTTCATGGTGGCGGAAAGCTTAGATGCTGCTTTCTTCGACGCAAGTAAGACTTCTTCATGCATGGGTCCA